GCCCTTGTATCCGTTGAAGCCCTTTTGCCCAGAACACACACAGACACACAGACACACACACACACACACACACAAAATAATAACAAATAATGTATATATATATATGTGAAAACCCACTGAACGAAGCCATTGCCGTTGCGGAGCTGGGCAAGCTCGAACAGCGCCCATGTCAGGGCAGATGCCGTCGTCTCCTCGGAACTTAGAGCCCTAAACCCTACACCCTGAACCCTAAACCCTAAACCCTACAACCTAAACCCTAAACCCTAAACCAGGTAACGCCGTCCATTGCGGCCCCGCACGTTTTGCGCGTGTCTTAAGAAAACGCCGAAAACTGGAGGTTTTTTGCGTGTCGCATTCGCGGGACGCATTTTGACTATGGTCAAAATCATCACTGGCACCATGGGTTCGGTGCTCGTGAGCGCGAAAACACTGCGCACAGCGATGTTTCGAGACGCGCGCATGGCACCCAAAAAAGCGCTTGCTTTTCGAACGCTGTTTTCGCACGAAAACACTGCACACGGCGTTCTTGCGCTTATGTTGTACAAAGAGGCACAATGTGTACAGAGAGGCAAACATGCTGCAAATACCAGTGTTGCGGCATCTTCGCCAAAGGCATTAGTGCTTGTGACCGCGAGTCTTCTTCCATACTATGTTGTATAGAGAAGCAAAAATGCTGTAAATACGAGTGTTGTGGGCATTGTCGCCCGGGGCACGAACGCTTGTGACCTCGTGTCTTGTTCCAGAAACGTCAAACATCCCTTGGCAAAAACGCTGTATTTTCCGATGTTTTGGGCAGGGTCGCCATCTTGATGGACGTAATACCCCCGCCCCGCCCCCAACCCCCCCAGCCCCAAACCCGCCAACCCCCCACCCCCCCCCGCCCCCAATCCCCGCCCCCCCAAAGGACCTTCGGGGCCGAAAGGGCTTGGGAGTCCTGGATTTGTGCCTGGAGGTTAAGGTTCAGGGTTTAAGGTCTGGGGTTGGGGGTTTGGGGCATCTTTCAGCCCCCGAAGTTCGGAGTGGCAAGTTTTGGGGTTTGGGGCCTTGATTGGGGTTGCTTTGCTTCGGGGTTCCTTCGCCAAGGAGCATGCCCGGCAATGAGCATGGTGATCATGTCGTCGCGCAGCTGCTTTCCCGAGGTCGCTTCTCCTGTGTGCTGCGGGCTGGCTCTGAAGCTCAAGTTGCCCCGAAGGCCCTTCCCAGCCTGAGACTCCCCTAAACCCTGAGCTCTGCACACCCTAAAAACCTTCATGAGGGTGGCTCTCTAGATTAGAACTACCCACATGAAGCAGTGGTACAAGCATCATCTGGGTCTAGAAGTGGAGTTTCGCAGTTTTGCAACTGAAGCTTTGATGAATGAGGAGTTTTCCAAAGACGCCCGCACTTCTTCAAGTCGGTGCCCGCGAAACGGGAAAGTGTCGTCGCTTTGGGTTTTCTGGGCTCACATGATGAGGGATTCCGAAAAACAGGGGTACAGTACCTTGTGTCTCAATTACGTAGTTTGGGGGTAGAATAAGGGGTCCCCTATTTCGGGAAATACCCGCGTGGTCTCGCACTTTTAGGGGTCGATGGCATAAGGGGAACAGTCAGGGCCTGAGAACCTGTGGGCGGGGTTTATCCCTCTTGGCTCGAGTCCGCCTGCTTTCCTGGGTCTGGAGGCTTGGGGGCCGGGGTTTAGGGTTTAGGGCTTAGGGTTTAGGGTTTAGGGTTTTGGGTTTCGGGTTTTGGGTTTTGGGTTATTTAGGGTTTAGGGTTTAGGGTTCAGGGTTTGAGGGTTTGAGGGTTTGAGGGTTTGAGGGTTTGAGGGTTTGAGGGTTTGAGGGTTTGAGGGTTTGAGGGTTTGAGGGTTTGAGGGTTTGAGGGTTTGAGGGTTTGAGGGTTTGAGGGTTTGAGGGTTTGAGGGTTGGAGGGTTTGAGGGTTTGAGGGTTTGAGGGTTTGAGGGTTTGAGGGTTTGAGGGTTTGAGGGTTTGAGGGTTTGAGGGTTTGAGGGTTTGAGGGTTTGAGGGTTTGAGGGTTTGAGGGTTTAGGGTTTATGCTTCCACGACCGATGGGGTCGGAGAACTCCATGCAGGTACCCTGCATGTTCGCAAAGCCCCATGCTTCTGCTGTTGGGGCTGTCCCATTTAGGTTTGTGGGGTTTTGGGAGGTCTAGGAGTTCATGGACTCAGGGCTTAAGGGTGCTTAGGGTTAGGGTTTGGGGGGTTCAGAAAACCGCAATGGTGGGGATGGAGCTGAGGGCTTTGGGAACCTGCCTTCAACCCTAAACCCCAAACCCCAAACCCTAAACCTACACCCTAAGCCCTAAGACCTAAGCCCTAAGCCCTAAGCCCTAAGCCCTAAGCCCTAAGCCCTAAGCCCTAAGCCCTAAGCCCTAAGCCCTAAGCCCTAAGCCCTAAGCCCTACACCCCAAGCCCTAAACCCTAAACCCCCTGAACCCTAAACCCTACCCCTAAACCCCACCCCTAAACTCTAAATCCTAAACCCTAAGACCTAAAACCCCAAACCCCAAACCCCCACCCTTGAACCCTGTGTCCATGTCCTTTCATATCCACCAGGAATCGCAGGAGGGACGGGTTATCCATCCTAGCGCAGGGGTTCAGGGTTTAGGGCTTAGGGTTTTGGGTTTTGGGTTTAGGGTTCAAGGTGGGGTTCTCAAGGCTTCACTTAGAAATCTGCAGCCCTGAGCCTGAGCCCAATAGTCCACCCTAAACCCTAAACCCTAAACCCTAAACCCTAAACCCTGAACCCTAAAGGGATGCCTATAAGAGAGGCGTAGGGTCTACAAGGTTCAGGGATTAAGGACCCCTGATCCCTGCAACTCTCACACCGGTCACACCTCACGCCCAAAAAGCAAACCCTGAACCCTGAACACTAAACCCTAAACCCTACACCTTCACTTCAGTGCTTGGCTTCAGGGGTGCTATGACCCCGCATGTGCCGCCCAGCGTCTTGGTGTAATCGCGATTCTCCAGCTCCTGGGTCACAGGGTTGAAGATTTAGGTTCAGGGTTTAGGATATAGGGTTTAGGGTTTAGCGTTTAGGGCTTTGGCTTCAGGGTTTCGGGTTCAGGGTTTGGGGTTTTGGGTTGAAGGTTCCGGGTTTCGGGCCTAGAGTTTAGGGTTTCGGGTCTAGGGCGAAGAAAATCCCAGCTGTGAAAACCTTAAGCGTCTAAGCCTAGGCCCCAACCAGAACCACTCTTCAAAATGGCAACTGCAACCAACTAACTTAAGAATATGCCCGCGCTAAACCCTAAAACCAAAAACCTAAACCCCGAACCCTAAACCCTAAACCCTAAACCCCAAACCCTAAACCCTAAACCCCAAACCCTAAACCCTGAACCCTAAACCCTAACTTACCAATGCGCGCAAGTACAGTCCAGATCGGAGTATGCGCCTCATCGCCTAGGGCACCAAAAGGGGTGCCAAGATTGAATCCCCAAACCCCAACCCCTGGACCCTAAACCCTAAAACCTAAGCCCTAAACCCTACCGTTACCCCCCCCCCCCCCCCCAACGCCCCCCTCCTTCCCCCCCCCATTTGAAGAGAAGCTTAGGGTTTAGGGTCTAGGATCTAGGATCTAGGGTTTAGGGTTTAAGGCTTAGGGCTTAGGGCTTAGGGTTTAGGGTTGAGGGTTTAGGGTTTAGGGTTGAGGGACACACACACACATACATGGCGAAGGATCCTCGAGGTCGGCTTCAGCACGGTCCGCTAAGGCCTGGAACAGGGTGTTCAGAGGTTTTCATGTAGGGTTGAGGAAGACAAGGGACAGGGTGTAGGGTGTGGGATTCAGGGTCTGGGGCTGAGGGTTATCGTTTCGGGCTCAGGGTTTAGGAGCTTAGTTCGGCGTTTGGGCGTGAATGGTCAGGGCATCGGGTTCGGCACTCTTGTTCTTGGCCGGGGAGTTTCTGACCCGAGGGTCTAGGGGTAGCCTTCAGGGAGCCCCAAACCCTCGACCCTCAACCCTAAACCCAAAACCCTAAACCCAAGCGTTCAGGGTCGTGGTTCATGTTGGGACTTTCAACTGTGCTTCCATGACCTGTCGCCCTCTTGCAGCACACAAATCTACCAACCTCAATCCTAGACCTGAAAATGAAAGTCCCAAACACCAACAAAAAAAAGCAAAACCTTAAGCATCGTCGAGCAAGAGCCCTGACAATCCTGAAGCTACCGCCGTGCACCGCCCTACACCCTCAACCCTCAACCCTCAACCCTCAACCCTCAACCCTCAACCCTCAACCCTCAACCCTAAACCCTAACCCTCAACCGTAAACCCTAAACCCTAGGAAAGCAGAGGGCTTCGCAGCCATCTTTCAAACAGCCGAAGGCCCGTGTTCCCCGGTGTGCCAAAATGCTGCCTTCAACCGCCTGCTAGCCCGGCAGCCATGTTTAGGGTTTGGGGTTTAGGGTTTAAGTTTTCGGGTTTAGGGTTTAGGGTTTAGGGTTTAGGGTTTAGGGTTTAGGGTTACCATGTTATAACACGGTACCCTTTGGGGGTTGGTTACTTTACAAGAACCTTGAACCCAAATAAAGGGGGAGAAGGGTGCCACTGGGCTACGAGGTGCTCACCAGAAACCCTAAACCCTAAACCCTAAACCCTAAACCCTAAACCCCTCAGGACGGTGTTCGACATACCTGGTGCTTAGGGTGAGGAGATCATGGCTTCAGGGCGATTAGGAGTTGCTTGGGCTTCTCCTGGAGGGCTTTTGAGGGTTCTTCGAGCAGTCCTGGCGCGCAGAAGCCCGAAGGGCGCCTGTCCGCCTGTCCACTGCAGAGTCCGTTTCGGAAAACTCTGCAGGTCTACTCTGGATTCGACATTCCGTCCTGCATTCTCAGCAAAAAGGCTGCTGTCTATGTTGGAGGGTCGAAACCTTCATCCTTGCACTTCTCAGTTTCGGAACCAGGCGGCTATGGACCGATGAGTCACCATTAGCGCCCGTGACCCTGAGGCCAAGAGAACGTGAATACGGCCTTCACGGCCATTGTAAAACGTCAAGAGCGGCTTACTTGCGCAGCCAAACGTCGCCGTCACTCCATTGTATGGAGGTTTGTGCGTCCCGGAGCACGAAGCCCGTGAAAAAAGCGTTGTCAATTGTGCAGCTCAGTGTGTCGAACGACATGGCATGCAAGGTAGTAGTAGTCGCCGTGTCCGATCGTTGCCATTGGATGTGCCAGACAACGCCTAGGCTGGATCTTGGGGCCCTTTAAAAACACAACCACGTTGAAGCAGGTGGCCGTTTTAGCTTTTTATCAAGGGATTCCTCTTTGAGGGGAATCTGATCCCATGGTGAACCCCTTTGAAGGACCTTCAGAATGACCCCCACATGGGGTTACAAAGGGGCTAGGGCTTGAAAAGGGTTCCGGAATGCTTCTCATTCCAAGAATTCAACACCATCTCGAAGCCTCCGAAACCTCCGGAGGCCGCGGGCCGGGGAGTTTCGGAGGTTCCAGGCCGGGGGGTTTTGCGAGGAGATTCTGCAAAAGGTAACCTCCGCAACCTCCTCGGAACCTCTCGGAACCTTTCCCTTAGATTTGACCTATCTATTCCAGATCTTTCCCGAGCATATGTCAAGGGACGAAGACTCGTCCCCCTAAGGCTGTACCCCTAAAGGTCCCCTGAATGTACTGCCAGTATGGCATTTTTACGGCATTAAGGGATCCTTAAAAAGGGTCCCCAAGACCCAAGAGTACAACCTTAGGCGTCCAAGGCAGAATCCGATGAACATACCTTACGTCTTGCCTTACTTACCCTCTCTGCCCCCCAAAAAAGTAAAATAAAAAAGAACACCAAAACATGTTCCTATGTGACGCCCGGGAGGCGGTTCTCGACGATCTCGCCGACGCAGCGGTTGTCGCTGCGCAGGTACCAGAAGCCTCGGCAGCCCAGTTTAGGGTTTAGGGCTTCGGGTTTAAATAGGGTTTAGGGCTTGGGGTTTAGGGTAAGCATGTTATACTAAAGGCACCCTTTTGGGGGTTGGTTGCTTGATAAGGGAACCCATAAACAAAAAATGCAAGAGGGCGAAGGGCACCACTGGGCTACCCCTAAACCCTAAACCCGAAACCCAAGAAGCCCTGGAGGTCAGTCCAGAAGTCGGCATCCGCCTCGACGCTCCTCGGGTGTGCGCGCGTGTTTTGTTTAAAACGGATCTTGTAGAATCACTCTTGAATTGTAGAACCGGTTGTTTTAACTGTTTTGCTGCTTTGCTTCTGCTGCAATCTCTTTTTGAAAATGAGCAGTGCCTAGTTGATGTTGTGAAAGGGGGTGAGTTTCCTTGATAAAAGTACAAAAAAAGTCCAAGGGCTATACAAGTTGTATGCTTGGGCTATATGTGAGTACATAGGTACGTAGTTGCAAAATAGGGCTACGTAGGAACCCTAAACCCTAAACCCTAAACCCTAAACCCTAAACCCTAAACCCTAAACCCTAAACCCTAAACCCTAAACCCTAAACCCTAAACCCTAAACCCTAAACCCTAAACCTCCAAATCAACCCCGGCTCTCTTCGCGCACCAGGTTCTCGGTTGGACTTCCGGATGTGCAACAACCTTCATGTCAGGGTTTAGGGTTTAGGGTTTAGGGTTTTGGGTTTTGGGTTTTGGGTTTTGGGTTTGGGGTTTGGGGTTTGGGGTTTGGGGTTTAGGGTTTAGGGTTTAGGGTTTAGGGTTTAGGGTTTAGGGTGTAGGGTTTAGGGTTTAGGGTTTAGGGTTTAGGGTTTAGGGTTTAGGGATGTTGCCTCCATGACACGCAGCGCCAAGCCAGCTCGACAGCCACATGAGGCAGTAGAGCTACGGCCCCTAAACAAAATAAACTATACAAAATCGAGCGTCGGAGCCCCTGAGGAGGGGCCACTGCTCTGAACCAATGGGCTGCAGCTTTTCTGAGGTTTGAGCCTTTAGGGTTTTCGCGTTTGGGGTTTAGGGTTTGGGGTTGAGGGTTTAGGGTTTGCGGTTTAGGGTTTGGGATTTAGGGTTGAGGGTTTAGGGTTTAGGGTTTGGGTTGGAGGTGATCACTGCGTAACCTTGTAATCGGATGTAGGGTGTTAGGGTTTAGGATTTGGGGTTTAGGGTTTGGGTTTAGGGTTTAGGGCTTTGGATTTTCGGGTTTGAGGGTTGAGGATTTAGAGTTTCGGGTTGAGGAGGTTTTTGGGTTAGGAGGCTTTAGGATTTAGGAGGGCGGGGGCACCAGTCAAAACCCTAAACCCTAACCCTAAACCCTAAACCCTAACCCCTAAACCCTAAACCCTTGCTGTTGGTTAAAGAGTGTCCGCCATCCAGACCCAAACCCTCCCTACACTGAAAACTGGAATAAGGGGCATCTCCAGAGGGGCTCTGAGGGCGCATTCGGGCTTAGGGTTTGGAGTTTAGGGTTTAGGGTTTAGGGTTTAGGGTTTAGGGTTTAGGGTTTAGGGTTTAGGGTTTAGGGTTTAGGGTTTAGGGTTTAGGGTTTAGGGTTTAGGGTTTAGGGTTTAGGGTTTAGGGTTTAGGGTGTAGGCTTTAGGGTTTAGGGTTTAGGGTTTAGGGTTTAGGGTTTAGGGTTTAGGGTTTAGGGTTTAGGGTTTAGGGTTTAGGGTTTAGGGTTTAGGGTTTAGGGTTTAGGGTTTAGGGTTTAGGGTTTAGGGTTTAGGGTTTAGGGTGTAGGGTGTAGGGTGTAGGGTGTAGGGCTTAAGGTTCCGGGTTTAGGGTGTAGGCTGTGGGTTTAGGGTTCAGGATGCAGGGGTTTGGGGTTTAGGGTGCGGGGGTTTGGGATTTAGGGTTCAGGGTTTAGGGTGCGGGACTTAGGGTGTGGGGCTGAGGGTTTATCGTTTCGGGCTCAGGAGGAGCTTAGTTCGGCGCTTGGGATTTAGGGTGCAGGGTTCAGGGCCGAAGTCCCTAAACCCCAAACCCTAAACCCCAAACCCCAAACCCTAAACCCTAAACCCTAAACTCAAGGGTTCAGGGTCGTGGTTCATGTTGGGACTTCCAACTGTGCTTCCAGGACGTGCTGCCCTCTTGCAGCACGCACATCTACCAACCTGAACCCCCAAGTGCTCACCAGAAACCCTAAACCCTAAACCCTAAACCTTAAACCCTAAACCCCTCAGGACGGTGTTCGACATACCTGGTGCTTAGGGTGAAGAGATCGGGGCTTCAGGGTGTTTAGGAGCTGCTTGGGCTTCTCCTGAAGAGCTTTGAGGGTTCTTCGAGCAGCCCCGGCGCGCAGAGGAGCAGGATTTTCCCTGAAGGGCGCCTGTCCACTGCAGAGTCCGTTTCGGTAAACTCTGCAGGTCTAATCTGGAGTCGGAGTCAGTTGAGCCTTAAACCCTAAATCCTAAACAGCCGGAGGCCACCCGCATTCGCAGCAAGAAGGCTGCTGCCCAGGCGACTATGGACCGATATGAGTCACTATGACTTGCCATCAGAGCCCGTGGCCCTGAGGCCAAGAGAACCCTAAACCTCAAACCCTAAACCCTAAACCCTAAACCCTAAACCCTAAACCCTAAACCCTAAACCCTAAACCCTAAACCCTAAACGAATACGGCCTGCACGGCCTTTGTTGAGACGTCAAGAGCGGCTTACTTGCGCAGCCAGACGTCGCCGTCACTCCATTGTATGGAGGTTTGCGCGTCCCGGAGCACGAAGCCCGTGAGAAAAGCGTTGTCAACTGTGCAGCTAAGCGTGTCGAACGACATGGCATGCAGGGTAGTCGCCGTGACCGATCGTTGCCATTGGATGTGCCAGACCACGCCTAGGCTGGATCTGGGGGCCGCTTTATATTAAAAACACAACCACGGTGAAGCAGGTGGCCTTCTTAGCTTTTTTCCAGGGATTCCTCCTGGAGGGGAATCTGATCCCATGGTGAACCCCTTTGAAGTGACCTTTGGAGCGACCCCCCACAACCCTAAACCCTAAGCCCCAAACAAAGGGTCCCAGAATGCTTGTCACGAACCTGAACGTCCCAAACCTTTTGTTGGAACCTGCCGGACCTCTCCGGCGGGGAGGCTCCCAGGAGGCTCCAGGCCGGGGAAGGTTTAGGGTTTAGGGTTTAGGGTTTAGGGTTTAGGGTTTAGGGTTTAGGGTTTAGGGTTTAGGGTTTAGGGTTTAGGGTTTAGGGTTGAGGGTTGAGGGTTGAGGGTTTAGGGGAGGTTCCGAAAAAGGTAACCTCCTCGGAAAAGATGTTCCTATGTCACGCCCGGGAGGCGGTTCTCGACGATCTCGCCGACGCAGCGGTTGTCGCTGCGCAGGTACCAGAAGCCTCGGCAGCCCAGTTTAGGGCTTAGGGCTTGGGGCTTCGGGTAACCATGTTGCAACAAGAAAAACCTTTTTCGGGGCTCGGCTGCTTTATAAGCGAAACCCATAAACCACAAAAAGAAGGAGGGCAAAACCCTAAACCCTAAACCCTAAACCCCAAACCCTAAACCCTAAACCCTAAACCCTAAGCCCTAAACCCCAAACCCTAAACCCTAAACCCTAAACCCTAAACCCTAAACCTTAAACCCTAAACCCTAAACCCTAAACCCTAAACCCTAAACCTGAACCCTAAGGGCACCATTGAGCTGCCAAAGAGGCCCTGGAGCTCGGTCCAGAAGTCTGCATCGGCCTGGATGCTCCTCAGGTGGGTGCGTGCGGCTGTTCGTTGCTTTTTGAATATCCTTCTAGGGTTTAGGGTTTAGGGTTTAGGGTTTAGGGTTTAGGGTTTAGGGTTTAGGGTTTAGGGTTTAGGGTTTAGGGTTTAGGGTTTAGGGTTTAGGGTTTAGGGTTTAGGGTTAGTATCCTTGTAGTGCCACTTTTGATTTTCATTGGGGTGGGGTGTCTTTATAAAGCACAAAAAGCTTAAGGGCTATGCAAGTCGTATGCTTGGGCTATATGTGAGTACATAGGTACGTAGTTGCAAAATTGGGCTACGTAGGAACCCTAAACCCTAAACCCTAAACCCTAAACCCTAAACCCTAAACCCTAAACCCTAAACCCTAAACCTCCAAATCAACCCCGGCTCTCATGCGAGGCATCGATGGCCTCCACACGCACCAGGTTCTCGGTTGGACTTTCGGATGTGCAACAGCCTTCATGTCAGGGTCTAGGGTCTAGGGTCTAGGGTCTAGGGTCTAGGGTCTAGGGTCTAGGGTCTAGGGTCTAGGGTCTAGGGTCTAGGGTCTAGCGTCTAGGGTTTAGGGTTTAGGGTTTAGGGTTTAGGGTTTAGGGTTTAGGGTTTAGGGTTTAGGGTTTAGGGTTTAGGGTTTAGGGTTTAGGGTTTAGCGTTTCGGGTTTCGGGTTTAGGGTTTAGGGTTTAGGGTTTAGGGTTTAGAGTTTAGGTTTAGGGTTTAGGGTTTAGGGTTTGGGGTTTGGGGTTTGGGGTTTAGGGTTTAGGGTTTAGGGAAGATGCCCATCTAGCACGGGGCGGAGCTGGCAACTTCAAGGGGTTAAGTTTAGGGCTTAATTAGGGTTTCAGCCTGCCCCGATGCCCGCCCTCCTGCTTCAAAAGAAATCTTTTAAGGGATGCCCAAAGTTTGACTCGGCCTGGATTTGGGAGAACTGCTCGGGGTCGGCGGCATTGGCGGCAGCCATTAAATCCGGCCCCCGCGCCGCCCGTGGTCCAGGCCAGAGCCCGCGTCGCACTAAAGCGCTAGCTTTAAGGGGCGAGCGCCCGAGCCGCCGACCCCGCCCAAAATTGCTCAAATTCGCGCGGGGCCCTTCGGGAGGCCTCCAAAACGGCATCCAAGGGGACGCAACACGCGGTGGTGCGAAAAGCACGAAAACCACGTAAAAAAAAAAAACCATGGGTTTTTACGAAAAACCGAGGCCACAAAACACCCGCAGCACCCCATTAAACCCTCACGGGCGCGCATCATCGGCCCTAGCTTTTCACATGGGGCGCGCGCCAGGCCGAAACCACGTTTTTCAAGGTTTGGGGGGGGTACCGGAAGCCCAAAACCAGGCGAGCATCATGAGCATCAGCAGCCCTGGCCCGCGGCCCCAAGGCAATAAAAAACGCTGAAAAACGCTGAAATCACCGTAAATACCGTGTTTTTATGAGGTTTTTCACGCGTGCCTCCGACCCCCACCCCTGTTGCCCTTGACCCGCCCCCAAAGTGCGCATCATCGAAACCCACGTCCGGGGGGGGGTCTGCTGATGCTGCTGATGGGGTCCGGGCGCATCATCGAGCCATCGCTTCTCTTGGGCTTCGTGGGGGGGTCCGGGCCCACGGCCCAGAGACCCAGCTGATGCTCATGATGCTCGGTTTGGGGTGTTCCAACAGCAGAAAACCTCGTAAATACCGAGTGTTTTGTGGGTCCACGTAAAAACGCCCCTAAAATCGCTCATTTTACGCGCTCGAACGGCTTCGTGCCTACAAAACACCCGAACAGCAGGACCCCGAATGCCCTTAAGGGCATTCGGGGTCTTGCTTTTGGGGGTTTCGTGGGCACGCAAGCGTTCAAGCACATACAATCGGCGTGTTTAAGGGGGTTTTGGATGGCTGGGGGAGGCCGCTGATGCTCATGATGCTCCCTTTCCTGGGTCCCAAAAGGCTTCCCAAGCCCAAAAACACGTGTTTACAGCGTTTTCTGAAGGTTTTTCGAAGGCAAAACGCATGCATAGAATGCTTTTAAGGCCCCCAAACCAACCCCACTGATGCTCCTGATGCGGGTGCGCGCGCGCGCGCGCGGCGCGCGCGCGCGGGGGGGGGGGGGGGGGGGGGGGGGGGGGGGGGGGGGGGGGGGGGGCGAAGGCAGGAGAAAGAGAGACAGAGAGAAGGAGAGGACAAAGACACGGGAAAGAGAAGACAGTGCCAAGGTTC